TCACCTTTTTCACCCCAATCCCCAACCCCCCTCCCATCAGGTAACCATCAGCTTGTTCCCTGCATCTATGAGTTTGTTTGCTTATTTATTTTGTTCTTTAGATGCCACATGTAAGTGAGATCGTATGGTATTTGTCTTTCTCTGTTTGACTTATTTCACTTAGCACAATACCATTCAGGTCCCTCCATGTTGTCATAAATGTTAATATTTTATCCTTTTTTATGGCAGAGTAATATTCCATTGCACTATTTATATATAATTTATATATAAATATATCACATCTTCTTTATCCAATTGTCTATTAATGAACACTAAGGCTGCTTCCATATCTTGGCTTGTAAACGCTGCAGTGAACATAGGGGAGCATATATCTTTTCAAATTAGGGTTTTGAAATTCTTCAGATAAATATCCAGAAGTAGAGTTGCTAGGTCATAAGATAGTTCTCTTTTTAATTTTTTGAGGGACCTCCATACCGTGTTGCATAATGGCCACACCAATTTGCAATCTGGGGGTCTTTTTTTCTATGCTAAGCTTGATCAGTGGGCTCAAGAGATGTCAGCCTGATCCCTCCACTATCAAGTTTCCTATCAACTTTCACCAATGTTTTCAGCAGTAGCAGCCACTAATGATTATTGCCTAGACCCCTCATTGCATCTCAGATATAATCCAGCCTCTTTACTGCATTGTCTGACTCTTGCTTGCCCTCGCTCTGGCCTCACTCCCTGCCAATCTCCTCATTATGCTCTGGCTATCTTGATGGCTCCTACACACTGTTGCTTTTTCCAGCCTCAAGGCCTTTTTCTCTTCTTATTCCTTCTTCCTCTTTCCTTCTTTTAGCTCCCAGCTTAAATGTTGTCTTCTCAGAGAAGACTGACCTGATGGCTCGACTTAAAATAGGTGCCCCACTATCATCTCTCACAGCATCATGTTTATTTTCTTCAATTTGTCAATATTTTATTTGTTTTCAGGCTTATTGTTTTCCCCACCCCCCTAGAAAGTCAGCTCCTAGAGAGCAGGGATCTTCACTATCATGTTGGCAGCCATCTCCCCAGCCTCTTGTCAATGGCTGCCCATAGGAAATGGTTTGATAAACAGTTGTTGAATGAATAAATATTTGTATGAAGAGGAAAAAGAAAGGTGATCCGGACACCAGGTAACAGGGTGCTGCTCAAAACTAGCATTGCTGATGTTAGAAGGCCTTCTCCACGGTCCTCTAGAAAGAATCCCCATCACAGAGTCTATTGGGAGCCTTCCCAGGCAGCTCACCTTTGCTGAGCCTCAAAATCAACTCTGAATCAGTCCCCATGACTGGGGGAACTCGGTGGGTGTGAATGGGTTGAAGAAATTGCTAGAAACTGCCTGGCTAGACTCCAGTATGTTTCCCCCACTGCCTTTCAGTCAGCCTCAGGAATTGTTTAGTGAGCTCATATTCCAAAGTCTGTCCTTGGCAGGTGTCTGGGAATAACCTTACCCATCTCTAGACCCTCGGTTAAGCCTGAGCATCAATCTCTACACTTAGGCCAGTTTCCAGAATTATAGACTCATCTTTCTAAAGGAGGAAAAACTTCCTATTCCTGGCAACTCCCCTGGGCTGGGGTGAGATGGGGTGGAGGCAGGCTGGCCTTCCGCCCGACATAGGCTCCAGGCCAGCAGCAGGAGGCCTCATTAACACCCTGGACTTGTCCTTTCTGGGATCTGCCAGGTACCCTTGTGGATACATTACAGCCTGTGAAAATTTCATCTGCTGAGCCTAATTAAGCCATTCCCCTACTGG